TGTAGTTATGCGAATAAGCTCAAAACAGTTCATATGGCTAGGAAAATGGATAAACTAGGGAACTGTGTGAAGAAATAGGGCTAAAAAAACATATACACGATTAAACAGTGACATGTTGCGTACTGGCCTATCCTTGCACAGATTCAGGCCATCAAACGCACAAACAAGCGTCACGTGTTGCGTAGTTGTGTGAATGAGCTCAAACCAGTTCCTATGGCTAGGGAAATGGATAAACTTGGAGCTGTGTGAATAAGTAGGGCTCAAAAAAGCATTCATACATTGAAATGGTTTGAATAAATTGGACTAAACAACCAGTTTATATTACATAATTAAATATTGTTACAAATACGGAATTATAGGTTTGGGTGTATAACATTAAATCAGCTTAGCCAGAATTAGAAAAATGAATCCATCAAGCAAAAAAAATATTATAAACATGTCAAACATTTAATAATATAACCAGCAATTACACAACAAGCTAGACACTAGCATTGGAAATATACTTGTTTCAATATCCAACAAATTAAGATACCAAGCGGGTTGTAAAAAAAACATTACATTACCAATTTAAATTTAATAGAACTGTTTGTTACAACTTCATGAAATATGAAAAGCGTGATGAACAGTTTGCTGCCACGAAACCATCTAGCTGAGCCTGCGGAGTTGACATCAAGTGCCCAGAAACACGCGCACCACTTCAAAAAGCACGCAACACCCTAATATCACTCCCATGCCACATGCGAGCAATATTCTCGCATGATCCCCAACCCCTACAAAAAGAGGAAGTTACACACAAGTCTTCCGCAACACACATTCCTCTCCCCCCTGTTTTGCGATGGGGTGCACAGTGCTCGACGGCGATTGGCCAATGCCAGTCGAGCAGTGCTCGATAAATGTCCCCGAAATTGCAACAGTATGGCTGACATATATATGTGCGTAAGAATACGACATGAGACGGAGGTATTTTTCGCCTGGTCAGGAGGGATTTTCGGGGTGACCCGAGGGATTCGGAGGGTTTTCGGATTTGCCCCGAAATCCCTTTGTGCCAGCACCCGTGGGGCGGAATGTGCTGACGTCACGCGTCCCTATATTGCTGGAATTTCATGAATAGAATCATGCTGTCCCCGCCTCCACACATATGAAAGAATATGCGAAAGTGCGGCAGACCTAAAATTTCAATTTCACATCTCATTTCTGCCATTGGTTTGATGTTGGTCAGGGCAGGCGTGAGTGGATGCCATGCTCTGTCACATCTCCCGGTTAGCCGCCCCCCCGCTAGTTGCACTTGTCTTACCTCGACGTACGGCGGGCAGAAGAAACATATCCAAGTTATTTCAGATGGGGGCGGGGAACCCCAGGAACATATGTCGTTTTCCCGTTCCGTGCCAGTTTAATCCGCCTCTTCCTGGTGTGGATGCTGTGTCGCTTCTAGAATTGGATAGAGTGCACGAAAGTACACACCAGCAAGAGTGTTGTGCGGTATGCGGGGTTAAAGTTCAGTGCCCTCGCTGATTGTGGTAAGGGTGTGGAGTCGAACTGCAAGGGAAAGTGTGTATGTAGAACGAGTGTCACGGTGGCCTCACTGTAAATGATGCACAGTTCAAGTACAGATCGGGAGGAGGTGGTGGTGACAAGCTGGGACTTTCAGCAGATGTTCTGGGCACACTGGTGTGTACACATTTTGTTTTGGCGATGTAGGATCACACTACAAACTTCAACATTCATAACTGCAGCTGATGGGCCTAGGCTAGAAGAGATGCTAGAGAGGTCTGTAATTTTTGGCGATGAGTTTAGCCTTCGTCGGAACCAGGTGTATAGCTAGCTTGGGTTGGTGGGGAAACTCGCCGAGCAATAACATCACCTGTTTCACTTCACATCACAAGTTCACAACCACACGAAACCACAGGCTTGAGCAATGTTTTTTGGCACCTTGTGTGATGTGGCGTGAAGTGCACGGATGAGCCAGCAAGCCGGCTTGGCTGCACTGCCTATTTTGTCGCTCGTGTGCAAGCCGAAGCAGACTGATTCGAGAAGGCGCATCGTTCGCAATCTCTGATCGAAGTGCGCTGCACGAATCACATCGCTTGAATTGATGCCAACCTGCACACCCACCACTCACAAACCGCTTAGTCCTTCCACGCGTGCCAAGATTTTCTGGTCAGCAGCCGTCTCTTCGGAATTCTCTGAATCGAGTTGGGTTCCCCAGAACGGGGAGGAGGGGGGGAGGGAAGTGGGGAACAATAAAGCATGCACCCAATCCCGCCGATCTTCAGACGTCACAACCGAACTTGACCGATGCGTTTAGTGAGTCAGGAGCCCGTGACGGTTCAGAAACAGGCTGCACTGATGCCAGAAACCCGTCAGCCTCTCAAATCACTCATAAATCCCAGCCAGCCTGATTCCGTCTTGTCTCTCCCAACCAACTGAATTATCCCTTTCCTAGCCAATCTCCATAACCAGCCACACCAGTGGAAGTACTAGATTCCTCGTCGTCACTCCCTAGCCACCCAGTGCCAGAGCAGTGACTGCTTTGAGAGCCCAACCCATTCCTTTTTCGGACACGGCCCCCAATGGACCGGTTCACTCCGCAGCATTCCTCGGAGCTCGCGCGTCGCTGCGTCTTCAGCGACCTGCTCGGCGAGGGCCAGTCGGGCCGCGTGTGGCGCTGCGTGGATCGCGCGACGGGGGAGGCCTTCGCGTGCAAGCAGGTGAACAAGCGCGGGCTCTCCCCCGCGGCGGAAGCGGACCTTCAGCGCGAAATCACCCTTCTAATCATCCTGCAAGGCCATCCAAACATGCTGCGACTCGACAGTCTGTACGAGGACGCGAAAGCCGTCTACATTCTCTCGGAGCTCTGCGACGGCGGGGATCTCTTCGGGCTGCTCGCGGACCATCCGCGCGGGCTCGACGAGCGCACGGTTGCGCGGATCTTCGCGCAAGTGGCGCGCGCCGTGCAGTGGTGCCACGACCACCGCGTCGTCCACCGCGATATCAAGCCAGAAAACATCCTCATTTCGCGCCGCCAAACAGTGCTCCCCGACACCGCGGACGCCGCCGCCGCCGCCGCCTGCGCAGCGGGGAAGGCGGAGCACGACGTGCGGCTCGGGGACTTCGGTCTCGCGTACCAGCTTCCGCGCGATAAGTGCATCGTGGGGCTCGCGGGGAGCGCGCCGTACGAGGCACCCGAGGTGCTCGCGCGCGCGCCGTACGGGTGCGAAGCGGACGTGTGGTCGCTGGGCGTGCTGCTGTACGCGCTTCTCTCCGCCTCCTGGCCCGCGTTCCGCGCGGGCGAGCGGAAACTCGTCCCCGCGGAGGACTTCGGATACTTCCCCTGGCGGAAGGATGCGCGCGCAGATGGGGGGAAGCGTGAGGTTTCCTGGGCGGCTAAGGATCTGATCTGCCGCATGATGACCGTTGATCCTCTGGAGCGGATCGACATCGACGGTATTCTGGACCACCCGTGGCTGGTTCGCCATTTGAAGTGCTCCGAAGCTGCTGTTCCGGTAACGCTAACCAGAGAGGACACGTCAGCAGCAACATCCAATAAGAGGAAGCCAGAACTGGCAACGGAAACAGCATCGGATGAAGAATGCTACGACTCGGAGGCATACGATCAAGCCAATGGAGAGGCATCGTATGACGACACATACGATGAGCGCGATGGGGACTGCGGCGGAGCATACGTGAAGGGAGACAAGGCATGCAGCAAGACGGTCCGTTCTGACAGCGGCTCGAGTGGTATGACAAGCATCAGCAGCATCAGCGTTGCACTCAGCTTCAGCAGGAGCAGCGACACGAGAACCAGCAGCACCACTCCCAACAGCAGCAGTGGCAGCTCCGGCTACACAGGGAGGATGCTTCTCAAGTCCTTCTCTTCTTCCAAGTAACCTCAGTGTCATCATTCCCCTTCGCCTCAATTCCAGCTGCACCACTCCCAACCAGCAGCAGCTCCAACTTTTGGCTCCTACCTGGCTTCTATCATTTCCTTCCCGTTCACCTACCAGATTTACCACCACTGGTACCGTACATTTCGTTGCAGCTTTTTTAGAGCTCCCTGCGAATTAATTTGGTAGCTCGTGTTGTTGCTTGCTGCGACTGCCCTGGCTAGATGGCCCTGGCTAGATGGACCTGGCTGGGTTCATTTGAATGGTTTCTCTACCCTTCCGGATAGGGAGGCATGTTTTTGCCATGTACCCTGTATTCAGGCATATTTTTTACTCCTTTTGGAGCTTGGATCATTTGCAAGGCCCGAAAATACTTGGAATGTTGCAAAGCCTGCGTTGACAGTCACAAACCTGCGAGGCCCAACAATAAATGAAGTCAAGGGACGTGGACTGTTAGTGCAAGGCAGGATGACATGGCTGCTGTTGAAATGTCACCCACGTGACTATCAATGGCCAACCTCACCCGGAATTGGTTGGCATAGTACATATGTGTAGTTGCATGTGGGTTTGCACTGTAGGGTGGAAGGCAAGGCAGTAAGGTATAGCTGGTGGTCATCAAGTGTCATCAACTTGAAATGTTGTCATTCAAGTGTCACCCACTTGAATCTCAACGAACGTCAGTCATGCGGTATATGGGTACTTGCATGTGCAATTGGGATAACACCGAAGAATGGGATATTGGTGGAAAGTTATTCCAACTTTGACAGTACCACTGACATGGGGTCAAATGACAGGGCAAAAAGGCACTGTGTGACAAGCAGACGAGGGGGTAGACTAGGGGAGGGGGGCAGAAGGGGGTGGGGGGAGGTGGGGGGGTGTGCAAGCAAATAAATTCTGGCGACAAACGGAGAATATGGAGAATATGGAATGGACACGCAGAACCAAACTCGGTGCAGCTCCACAAGAGAAGAGGCAGGTCTTACAAGGAGTGAACCTGGTGCTTCTGGGTGATGCAGGTGACTGGTGATGATGGCAGGCGGGCAGAAGGATGCATACTGATCCAGACTGATGCAGGAAACTTGGTATTTCATTCGGTCGGGTTGGTCACTTGGCTGGTTATTTGGTCACAGGAGGGGCTATGCTCGGCAGGATCTTGGCCAAGAGCTGTGTGCCACATGGCGGGCTGCCATGCGCGATGGCAGAGGTCATGTCTGGCAGCTGCCTCTCGAGCATGTCGTATGCATCGGCGAAGGCCTGATGGGGGTGGGGAGAGGTGGGGGGAGGTGGAGGGGGGTGGGGGGGGTTGGAGGGAGGTGGAGGGAGGTGGCAGAGGTGAGTTGTGTGGCAGAGGTCATGTCTGTCTGGCAGCTGCCTCTCTAGCGTGTCGTACTCATCAGCAAAGGCCTGAAGGGGAAAACAGGCAGGAACAGGGGGCAAGGTGAGGGGTGCATAGAACCACTGTGAAGGCGCGAGAGATGAGTGAGGGACGGGAAAGATAAGTGACGGCCGGGACAGGAACATGATTCAGTGGATGCATAATACGCTAGCTGCATGCATGAAGTGCACACCTTGGTGCACCGCCCCACACACCTTGGTGCACCGCCCCACACACCTTGGTGCACCGCCCCACACACCTTGGTGCACCGCCCCACACACCTTGGTGCACCGCCCCACACACCTTGGTGCACCGCCCCACACACCTTGGTGCACCGCCCCACACACCTTGGTGCACCGCCCCACACACCTTGGTGCACCGCCCCACACACCTTGGTGCACCGCCCCACACACCTTGGTGCACCGCCCCACACACCTTGGTGCACCGCCCCACACACCTTGGTGCACCGCCCCACACACCTTGGTGCACCGCCCCACACACCTTGGTGCACCGCCCCACACACCTTGGTGCACCGCCCCACACACCTTGGTGCACCGCCCCACACACCTTGGTGCACCGCCCCACACACCTTGGTGCACCGCCCCACACACCTTGGTGCACCGCCCCGCACACCTTGGTGCACCGCCCCGCACACCTTGGTGCACCGCCGCACACACCTTGGTGCACCGCCCCACACACCTTGGTGCACCGCCCCACACACCTTGGTGCACCGCCCCACACACCTTGGTGCATTGCAGGATTCGGAAGCAGTTGCGGCCGACATTGTTGGTTGGATCCAATGGGTCCTCTATGTGTAATGGGTCGATGCTGCCATGCCATGCATGCAACACACATGCACACACATGCCCGCACATGCACACACATGCCCGCACATGCACACACATGCCCGCACATGCACACACATGCCCGCACATGCACACACATGCCCGCACATGCACACACATGCCCGCACATGCACACACATGCCCGCACATGCACACACATGCCCGCACATGCACACACATGCCCGCACATGCACACACATGCCCGCACATGCACACACATGCCCGCACATGCACACACATGCACACACATGCACACACATGCCCGCACATGCACACACATGCACACACATGCACACACATGCACACACATGCACACACATGCCCGCACATGCACACACATGCACACATACGCACACATGCATGCACACACATGCACACACATGCATGCACACACATGCACACACATGCCCGCACATGCACACACATGCCCGCACATGCACACACATGCCCGCACATGCACACACATGCCCGCACATGCACACACATGCCCGCACATGCACACACATGCCCGCACATGCACACACATGCCCGCACATGCACACACATGCACACACATGCACACACATGCCCGCACATGCACACACATGCACACACATGCACACACATGCACACACATGCACACACATGCACACACATGCATGCACACATACGCACACATGCATGCACACACATGCACACACATGCATGCACACATACGCACACATGCATGCACACACATGCATGCACACATGCATGCACACATACGCACACATGCATGCACACATGCATACACATGCATGCACACATGCGCACACATGCATGCACACATATCCAGACACATGCATGCACACATATCCAGACACATGCATGCACATGCACACACATGCAGACACACACACAAATGCACTCACATGCATGTATGCACACACACATGTGCCAAAACACACTCACACGCACATATGCACAAACACATACATGCACGCGCACATGCACTCCCACAGACATGAGCATGCTCACACATCAGGAGAGAGGACACGTGCTAACATGTGTGATGTGAAGGGTTAACACATGCAGCATGATGCATTACGCATGCAAGGTGAATGGTGCAAGGGCGACCAGAATACACGGAAGGTACCCATAACGGGCTCTGGAACTCGATAAAAATAGAATATCATGATATTTCCAAAGGTTCCTTGAAACCCAAATTCCTAAACCCTGACCCTAAACCTAAACCCTATCCCCATTCCTTTGATGAAGCTTCCTGGCAAGGGCGTCTCACCTCTGAGAGCGGTCGCGCTCGAGAAAAGCCCCTCCCAGCCTGATGCTGGCCGCCATGCGCCGCGGGTCAAACACACAGCTGTGTGGGGGGAAGGGGGAGAGGGGAGAGGAGATAGGGGATAGCGGGGGGAGGTGGGGGTTGAAAGAAAAAAGCAACTTACGAAAATGGAGAAAGCCCCTCCCAGCCTGATGCTGGTCGCCATGTGGCGCGGGTCAAACACCCAGCTGTTAAGGATGGAGACAGGGGGGGAGACATAAGTTGAGGGGGTGGGGGGAGAAAGGGGAAAGGGAAGGAGTGGGGTTGGGGAGGTGTGGGGGTTGAGAGAGGAAAGACGACCTCTCGCAGCCAAATGCTGGCAGGCATGCGACGCGGGTCAAACACACAGCTGTTGGGTGGGAGAGAGGGGGGGGGGGGTGGAAGATTTTGGGGGGGGGGAGGAGGGGAAGGGGGAAGAGGGGGAGGTGTGAGGGTTGAGAGAGGAAAGACGAAAGTCAAACACACAGCTTTGGCGGAAGATGAGTTGGGGGGGGGAGGGGGGGGGGGGGAGATGGGAGGAAAGAGGAGAGAGGGGAGAGGAGGGGAGAGGAGAGAGACGAGAGAGGAGAGGAGAAAAGAGAGTATGGAGGAGCGAGGAGATGTGAAAGAGGAGGGAGGAGGGAAATTTGCGAGGGAGGAAAGGAGAGTGGGGTAGGGAGGCAAAGGAAGTGGAAGGGTGGATTGGGGAAACAATGGCAGTGTTGCACATACCCATGCATGCTCGCACCCATGCCTGCACGCACCCATGCACGGCTGTGTGGCACAGATGGGTGGGGCACGCACCCATGCATGGGCGAGGCACGCACCCATAGAAGTGCAGGAAGTCGAACAGCAGGCTGCCCAGGTTCTGCCACTGGGGCGAAAGGTTGACAGGCAGTGACAGTGGCGGGTTGTGCCGCCATAGCATGCACACGCGCATACAAGTCACACACCCATGCACCCATGCACCCATGCATGCACGCACCCATAGAAGTGCAGGAAGTCGAGCAGCAGGCTGCCCAGGTTCTGCCACTGGGGCGGGCGGCCGATGTGCGGCTGGATTTGCAGGAAGCGCGTTATCAGCAGCAGCTGGTGGTTGGGGAGAGCGGGGGAGAGAAGGGAAGGGGGAATTTGGGGTAGAGGAGGGTAAATAATGAGGAGAGGAAAGGGGCTCTGCACTCACAAGGCAGTAGATCGGACGGGAGCCACCAGTGTAGGGGGGTAGCTGATGTTGCGGCTTGTGAGGATGCGGAGCAAAAAACGCGCAAGAGTCAATAGGGGCAGGTTCAAAACTCATAAGGGAAAGGAGGACGGGAAGGTGTGTGACGACTCACGAGGCAGTGGGAGGACGAGAGGGGGAGAGGGAGAGGGGGACGGGGAAGGGGTCAGGGGAAGGGGGAGGGGGAAGAGGGGGGGGGACGGGGAGGGGGAGGGGGAGGGGGAGGGGGAGGGGGAGGGGGAGGGGGAGGGGGAGGGGGAGGGGGAGGGGGAGGGGGAGGGGGAGGGGGAGGGGGAGGGGGAGGGGGAGGGGGAGGGGGAAGGGGGAGGGGGAGGGGGAGGGGGAGGGGGAGGGGGAGGGGGAGGGGGAGGGGGAGGGGGAGGGGGAGGGGGAGGGGGAGGGGGAGGGGGAGGGGGAAGGGGGAGGGGGAGAGGGAAGGGGAGGGGGAAGGGGAAGGGGAGGACGAAGGGGAGGGGGAGGGGGAGTGGGAAGGGGAGGGGGAAGGGGAGGGGGAGGGGGAGGGTAAGGGGGAGGGGGAGGGGGAGGGAGAGGGGGAGGGGGAGGGGGAAAGGGAGGTGGGTGACGACTCACAAGGCAGTAGGAGGAGAGGCCGCCAGTGTAGGGATGGTCCAGGCTGCGATCCGTGAGGAACTGCTTGAGCACCAGGGCGAGCGGTGGGATGGCTGGGAACTGCGCTGTCAGCTCTCGCACCTGATAAGGCATAAGGGAGGGGAGGAAACAGGGGGTGAGTGAGAGGCAGGGAGTTAATGGTCTGTGAGGAACTGCTTGAGAACCAGGGCGAGCGGTGGGATGGCTGGGAACCGAGCCGTGAGCTCACGCACCTGCAGGGGGCACAGGGGAAGTGGCGGGGAGTGGAAGGGGTGGGAGGGGATGAGAGGGGAGGGGAGGGGGGAGGGGAGGGGAGTGGAGGTGAGGGGAGGGGAGGGGAGGGGAGGGGAGGGGAGGGGAGGGGAGGGGAGGGGAGGGGAGGGGAGGGAAGGCAAGTAGCTGAGAAATCCAGCAGCTGAGCAGTGCGATGACCTGAGTGGGTGAGCAGTGCGATGAGCTGAGTGGGTGAGCAGTGCGATGACCTGAGTGGGTGAGCAGGTGAGCGAGAGGTGAACGCAGAGAGAGATTCAACTGACTCATGTTGACTAAGGCGTGCCTGCCAGCCTCACCAGTTCAGCAGTGCGCAGGCCCGAGTGTGAGCCGCCTTCGAAGCTGATGTCCAGACGCACGTTGCGCCTGTCATCCACGTTGCCCCACGGGCCCCTCGCCCCGCCCCTCACCACCTGCACCTGCACCTCCCCCCCCACTGCTCCTGCTGTATTTCGAGCCGTCTCTAACGGCGCCTGCACCTGCTGCACCTGCTGCACCTCCCCTGCTGCTATCGCCTTCTGAGACGCCTTGAAAGGCACCTGGACATTCCCCCCTGCTGCCCCTCCTCTCCCCACCTTCTTCTCCACCCCCCCCTCCTCCTTCCCACCCCCATCTGCCTTCTCCGAACACCCTTCTCCCTTCCCCACTATCTCCCCTGCTCCTCTTGTCTCCCCCTTCCCCATCTTCGTCCCCTCTTCTTGCTCCACTGCCCCCTGCACCATGTGAGCGACTGCTTCCCCGGGTGGACAGATAGGACTGCAGCCGCTCTCAGAAAAGGTAGGGGTTGGGACGACTCCCTCCGTGCCTCTGCTCTCTACCATACATCCCTTGAATACATTGATTCTTGTTACTCTGTTGATACCCGCCTCTGCAGCTGTGGCAGGAGCAATGCAAGAGTCGGTGGCAGCAGCAGCAGCTGTGGCAGCAGCACTTGCATTCATATTGTTCACACCGCCACAAGAATCCAGCTCCTCGCCTCCCGAGTGTGCAAGAGCCACGTCAGCAGAAGCCACGTCAGCAATGGCCACGACATCAAGGGCCACATCGGCAAGTGCTACATCCGCAGCGGCCAAGTCAGCAGGGCCGGCATCGACGAGGACATCCGGAGCCACATCAGCAGCAGCGGCAGCAGGAGCCACGTCAGCAAGGACAGCAGGCGCCACGTCAGCAGAGAGGCGGGACGTGTGAGCAGGGAGGCGGGCAACGAGCATGATGATTGGCACCATGGCGTTCTCAATGGTCTTGATCGAATCGCTCTTCACCCAATCCTGGTCCGCCAGGTGGCGCGCGGCGTGCTGCAGACACGTCTCCTTGATGCCGTTGCGCCCCTCCAGTATACCCGCCTCCTTTATGGGCTCCTGGTAACATGTGGATGAAAGGGGAGTTGGACGATGGGAGAGAGGGGAAGAGGAAGTCAACACGCTGTTGACGTGACTGCAGGGCAAGGCAAGCGAGCATGTGAACGTGACACCACCACAGCACACAGCGCAAAAGAGAGGGAGAGATGTTGGGAGCATCATGATCTCACCAGGTTTCTGACGGGTGGCAGGTGCACGAGAATGTCAACGTCACTGGAGAGCAGGGCGAGCGAGAGTGAGTATGTGAGGCGGCATTACAGTCCACAGCACACAGCACATGGTCTCACCAGGTTGCGGACGGGCGGCAGGTGAACAAGGATGTCAACGTCACTTGAGGGCAGGGCGAGGCCCGTGGCATTGGAGCCGAAGATGGACACTCGAGAGCGCGGCCACAGCACCTAAATGGAGCAGGTAACACGGTAGGCGGGTGGTAGAAAGTAGGGGGAATGCGCATGAGTGTGGGCGGCGGGGATATGATGAGTGTTTGGTTGTCTTGCAACAGGGGCGAGGCCCGTGGCGTTGGAGCCAAAGATGGACACGCGGGAGCGCGGCCACAGCACCTGAAGGGGCCAGGATGGGGAGGGTGCGCACATGAGCAAATTGAGAATGTGTGTGGACATTGGTGTTATGATGGGTGCTGTGCCGTCTCACACCAAGAGTAGGAAGGAATGAGCGCGAAAGGATTAAGGTCCATGTCCTGTAATGTTTACATAGACAAGGGCCGAATGTGCAAGGGGCAAGGAATAAGGGGTTTTTTTTAATCAACTAATAGATTAACTTTGGCTGCCACGCTCGAATCCAATCACCTGCAGCGTTTGACCCAGCCACCTGCACCTTGCCTTGCCACCCACCCACCCAGCAACTCACTCACTCAGTACTCCACCTACCAACTTGCATCGTGCCGCCACCCACTCACCTGCAGAGTGCGCGAAACTTTGGTGATGGCGGCGAGCTGGTAGGGCTTGCGGGCGCGCATCTCCCCCATCACCTGCAGGCAGAACGCCTCTATCTCCTCATGCAGTGCGCTGTGTAGCGCTGCTAGCGCCGGCTGGGAGGAGGGGTCGCCGCGACAGCAGCGATCCACCGGGATGATTGTGGGCAGCTGGGGGGGGGAAGGGGAAGTGGGGAAGAGGGGAAGGGGGAGTAAGGGTACCATCTCCCCCATCACCTGCAGGCAGAACGCCTCTATCTCCTCGTGCAGTGCGCTGTGTAGCGCTGCTAGGGCTTGCTGGGAGGAGGGGTCGCCCCGACAGCAGCGATCCACCGGGATGATTGTGGGCAGCTGGGGGGAGGGGGGGTGGTGAGAAGAGAGGGGCGCATGGGAGGCACAGTTCGAGTGCTCGTGCAGTGCGCTGTGTAGCGCTGCTAGTGCTGGCTGGGTGGAGTGGTCTCCACGACAGCAGCGATCCACCGGAATAATGGTGGGCAGCTGGGAGGGGTGGGAGGGCGCGAATGGGGAGGGAAGGGGCGATTGGAAAGCGACGCCTCTATCTCCTCGTGCCACTGTGCAGCGCGATTAGAGCCGGCTGGGATGAGGGGTCGCCCCGACAGCAGCGATCCACCGGGATGATTGTGGGCAGCTGGGCGGGGGTGGAAAAAGGGGGCGAATGGGGAGGGACGGGGTGATTGGAAAGCAGAACGCCTCTATCTCCTCGTGCCACTGTGCGGCGCTATTAGAGCCGGCTGGGATGAGGGGTCGCCTCGACAGCAGCGATCCACCGGGATGATTGTGGGCAGCTGGGCGGGAGATGATGGGAGAGGAGGGATTTAACACAAACTTTTGTCAACAATCCACAATCGAATATTTCAACTTAAACATATTTAGGGCAAACTATCGACTATCAGACAACATTCACCGTGTCAACTCACCTTGACTGGATCGAGAGCGAGTGGCGGCACCAGTGCTCTCACTCCTTCCGGAACCGCCCTCCCTCCCATCCCCATCGCCCTCACCCCTCCCATCAGCCCCTCTGCAACACCACCACCACCTCCTCCTCCTCCTCCCCCTTCACTCACCCCCTGACCACCACCCATCGCTGCAGCCGCTGCAGCAGCAGCGGCAGCAGCAGCAGCAGCGGCAGCAGGAGAGGGTAACCCCCACAAGGCCCTGCCACCCCCACCCTGCCCCACGCCAAGCCCACCCACAGGCAGCCCAACCGCCCCCCCCATCCCTGCCGCAACCGCCGCCGCAGCCGCGGCAGCAGCAGCAGAAGCAGCACCAGCAGCTGCAGTAGCAGAAGCAGCAGCAGCAGCAGCATTCTCTCTCAGCATCACCGCCTCTCTCGCTGCCGCCACGGCAGCAGCAGCAGCAGCAAAGCCAACGCCACCCGGAGCACTACCAGGTAGCAAACCCCAGTGCCTAGGACTAGAGCTCCCGGATCGCACCCGGAAGTACCCTCGGGATCGGCCCGCGCCCGCCACAGGGGAGGGTGGAGGCGGGGGAGGTGCCTCCTGGGGCGGTTGGTATCTGAGGACTGGGGAGCTGGGGCGTTTCCAGGAGCGCATTCGCCCCGCCATGGCTGCTGCATGGGAGGACGGCTTGTTGTTGGTACTGGTGCCGCCGGTGCTGCTGCCACTGCCACTGTTGCTGCCGCTGCTGATGCTGATGTTCATGCTGCTGCGGCTGCTGGGTGTGGGGACTCGGATTGGCCCTGGAAGGGTGAATCCTGTTGCGGTGATGGTGGCAGGTGCAGCAGAAGATGCGAGGCGTGGGCTTGGGGGAATAGCCGGGCTGGGGGGTAAAGGTGTGGTCGAGGAGATGGATGTGCCTGGTCCTGCTGGTAAGGCTGTCCCTGGTGGTGATGTGATAGCTTGGGGAGTGTTGAACTCAGAGCTCTGCTGAAGAAGAGGCTGATTGTGGGTATGCAGCACCTCAACCTGCTCTTGCTGCTGCTGCTGCACCTCTTTCTGCTGCAGTTGTTGCTGCAAGTGATGGGGACTTAAGGCAGCAGAACTGGCAGCAGCCATGGCAGCTGCGGCTGCAGCTGCAGTTTCCTCTGCTGCTTTGACAGAAGAGGAGCGGGAGAGCGGAGGGGTGCGATGAAACAATTTCCCACCGCCGCTGCCACCAGTGCGGCGAAGGCTCATAGGTGAGCTGCTACTGCTGGTGGTGCTGCTGCTGCCGCTACTGCTGCTAGCAGGAAAGCCCACACCGGACGGCGACCCAAGCACCGGCTGAAGTAGCTGAAGAGGCTGGGGACGGCACACTTTCTGCTGCACCTGCTGCTGCTGCTGCTGCTGCTCCTGATGCCCATCCATACCTGGACTAACCGTCGGCTCCTCCACATACCCATCCCCTCGTCCGCACGTGCTGCTGCTGTTTGTCAACCCTCCTCTCTCCACCTCACCTGCCTCCCCTCCAGAGCTCCCAGGTCTCGCCCCTGCCCCACCAGGCACACCAGGACTCTGCTCCACCTGCTCCTCATTCCCACGCCCTGCATCTTCCCCGGCCTCAGCTGCAGCTGAAATCGCTGCAACCCCTGCCCCCCCTTGCCCTGTATCACTACCAGCTGCCTGCCCTTCCATAAGCGAAGCAGCCGGATCAGCACCGGCCGTGGGCTCGGGAATAGGCATGGGAGTAGGTGCGGCGAAAGGCTTGGTGTTGTCGGTGGTGCTTCTGACAGTGTCAGAAGCGGCTTCACCGGTAGGATGCGCACTGCTGCTCTTCTGCGCTTCCCCTTGTGCAGTGACGCACTCACTGCCAGCACTGCCAGTGTCCCTTGCGCGCTCACCACCCTCCCTCTCACCACGATCAATGTCTGGACTCTCACCCCTCCCATCAGGGATCTCAGGACATTCAGAGCCTTGGGCTGCTGCTGCTGCTGGAGTCGTAGCTGCTGGTGTTGCTGCTGCAACTGCTGCTGCCACTGCAGGTCCTGCTGCTGTCGCTGGTGCTGCGGTGGCTGTCACTGGTGCTGCTGCTGCTGCCGAGGGCGCTGGCGCTGCCACTGGTGGTGCTGCTGCTGCTGCCGCCAGTGGCGCAGGGGAATCAGTGACCCGAACGACAACTGCAGCACCAGCTCCGTTGCCCCTCTGCCCCTGAACACGCACCGGATCACTCTCAGACCGAGCCAACCCCATCCCCCGTGGCCTCCCTTGCTGTTGTGTCCCTCCACGCCCACTCAACACACCCGCATTGCCGCTGCTGGCACCACCAGCACTGCCACTGCCACTGCTGGCACCACCAGCACTGCCACTGCCACTGCCACTGCCGCTGCCGCTGCCACTGCCACTGCCACTGCCGCTGCCAGCATTGCTTGTGCCAGCAACAGCAGCAGTAGTGCCAGCTCCATACAGCACCAGTCCTCCACTTCCTGACGAGACTAGCCGGCTCCCTCCTCCCGCCCCTCTCGCTGCTCCCCCCACACCGCCGCCCAGCTCAAAACGTGGTGAAACCACACCAGAAACCACAGCACCCGCAGCGGAAACCCCGACAGCAGCAGCAGCGGAAATCGAGGCACCAGCACTAGGAGCAGCAGCGGAGAGAGAAGCGTGGCGCATGTCGAACGGGCCAGAGGCAGTGGAGCTAGGCGAAGGAATACTCGAGCGATCAGTCGACGCAGCAGTCGACAGACCCATACCCGGCGGATACGACCCTGAAATCGACCCAGAAATCGACCCTGAGATCGACCCTGAGATGGGGAACCCAAGCACAATATCATCCACTATCAACCGCACATCCGCCTCTCGTCTCAACCACGAGCTGTCCTCCGACCCGAGAGACGAGCCCGTGCGGGAGGCGCCCCCGCTTGCACTGGCCCCACGGTAATCCGCCATGTTCCAGTAGAACACCCCTCCGCCAAACACATTCCTATAGTCCACATCGTTATCATCATAAGAGAATCGCGTCTCTTCACGTGTACCTTCAGTCCCTCTGCTGCTGCCACCAGGGCCTCTACCCCCAAGGATACCTCCCTCAGGTGCACCTCCCCCAAGCATACCCGCCCCCATCCCTGGAATTCTGTGTCCCGACGGGCCTTGTATCGCCCCTATTCCAACCCCCCCACCCCACCCCATTCCCGCAGGCCCCATGGCTCCATGCATGCCTTCTTTTCCGTACATGCCCTTCCCCGAGCGGTAATTTCGAGGGTAAAACACCCCTCTTCGCTGGGCTACCAGCGGAATGCTCTCATCCTCTGAGAAATACCCCCTGTCGCCCGCACCGCCTACAAACTCGGCAAAATCCTCCTCCAGAATCTGGTAATTCTCCCCTGCTAATAACGAATCATCTGTGAAATTCTCCAAAGACCAGTCCTCTGACTCCCCTTCCTCGGTCCCCTCACCTGCTCCCCCCTCTGCATCCCCATCCCCATCCCCATCCCCATCGTCACAGTCCGTCCCATCCTGGCGTGCTCTATTGCTACTAGCCCAACAAGAGCATCGCCTGGAGGGTGTGGATAAGGGCGTACTTGGGCTTTGCACTGCCGTTTCACTGGAGTTATCCTCATTATTAGCAGGAGCACTATTAGCAGGAGGAGCTTGGCCCTGGAATTCAAACTCCCCGTCACCCTGCCGACCGTGCTCACCAGCACTGGTCAAAACATCAGCATTTATCACGGTACCAGCAGCAACCGTGCCGGCAGTAGCAGCAGTAGCAGCTGTGGCAGCTGTAGCAGAGGCGGTCCTGTCTCTGCCAGTGGTATTAGGTCGCCTGGCTTCATCCGCTTCTCCCCGCCTGAAGGGCACAGTGATGCGCAGGGGAGGATGACGGTGGCCTACAGAAGCAGCAGCAGCAGCAGCAGCAGCAGCAGCAGCAGCAGCAGCAGCAGCAGCAGCAGCAGCAGCAGCAGCACCACCACCACCAGCTCCTTCCCCCTCCCTTTCGCCAACACCAGCTGCTCCCTCTCCCTCCATTCCTCCCCTACCTGTGCCATTCGCCTCTCTTGTCTCCGTTCCCATCCCCGCTTGCCCTGCTTGTCCACCCGATGCCAGCCCCACCCCACCTCCCTCAACAATCCCCACTGCAAAATCCGCATCCTCCTCCCTTTCCAACAAGCTCCCATCCTCCCGCTCCTCCCCATCCCTGGGAACGGCCTCAGGGACGACAGGCGGCGCCACAACCACTGGCTCAGGCAGGCTGTGAGGGGGAGGGCAGGCGACGGCGGGGGAGGCACCAGCAGAGGGCTGGGAGGGATGGTGCCCGTGTAGCTGGTCCTGGGTAGGGCTTGACGAAGCGCAACTGGCATTCTGGGGTAGGTGAGGCAGGTGGGGAAGGTTGGGAAAATAAGGCAGATGGGGATGATGGGGGGGGTGAGGGTTGTGGGCAAGATGGCCTGAGTGCCAGCCAGAGACATGGTGGGAGAGTGCGGTGTGAGAGGGAGCGGGGTAGGAGAGAGGGGGCTCTGGCACGTGGAGGAGGTCCCTAGGCGGGCCCAACACACCAGGGTAGCGCGCGTGAAACGCGTGGAACGGGTCATCGACCGAGACAGTGTCTGAGCCGCATTCATAGGAGGAGTATGGTGGGTGTGGGCCGTGTGGTGGTATAGGAGCTGGGCCTGCCTCAAAGGCAGTGTTTGAGAGACAGTCGTAGTAATAGGGGCGTGACCAGGCGGGCTCTGCAGCCCAGGTGGAGATAGAGGAGGGGAGCACGGGGTGCAGGGGATGCAGGTCAGGAGGGAGGTGATGGAAGTTGGAGGGGTGGAAGTGAGGGGAGTGTAGGTCAAGGGGGTGCAAGTGCGGGGGGCAAGGGCTTAGCAAGCCTGCTTTGATGGCTGGGTTTGGATGGGTGGGGACAGGTGGAGCGGGTTGTGGGGGGGGTGGTGCTGGTGGTGATGATGTGCTGGACGCACGGGCAGATGATGAGTCCGGAGCGAGACAAGAGGAGGAAGTCGCAGAGGCAGCAGAAGTAGCAGCTGTGGCAGCAGGAGCCGCAGCAGCAGCAGGAGCCGTAGCAGCGGATGACGCAGCGCCAGGAGTAACCATAGGATCCTGAGCAACATCAGGAGGAGGAGCAGCAGAACTAGTGGCAGAACCGGAAGCAGAGGCAGAGGCAGAGGCAGAGGCAGCGCTACCACTTAATATGGACACAGAAGCAGAGGCAATGGCGGAAGCAGGGACAGCAGCGGAGGGGGAGGAGGAGGTGAGAGAAGAGGAGGAGCAGGAGGAGGCGGGGGAAGAGGGCAGGCTAGGGGGCCGGGGGGGCAGCTGGGTGAGGTGAAGGGCAGAGGGGCGGTGCCACAACCACGGCCACCGCCCTGACCCCTCCAGATGCAGCGAATTGAGCACCGACTCCTGCTGCTGCTGCTGGTGCTGATGTTGCTGGTGCTGGTGTAAGAGCAAGTGGTACTGTTGCTGATACTGCTGCAGCTGGTACTGGGGGTGCTGGTGATACGGGTTTGGTGAGTTGAAGGGAGGGGGTTGTAAGGGAGCAGCAGACAGAGAGCGAGGCCAAGGAGGGTGAAAGCCGGGCCACTCGTGGTGAGGGGAGAGGCGGGAGGCATGTCGGGGAGAGAAGGGGAGGCGCATGGGGGGGAAACTGCGCTGAGAGGGAGGCTCCTGAAGGGTCTGCTGCTGCTGCTGCTGCTGCTGCTGCTGTGGCGGATGGGGTTGTGGTTGCACTGGGACAGGCTCTAGAGACTCTCCTTCTGGGAAGAACGGAGGGGCATCTGGTGAAGGCACGAACTGTGCCTGCCTGCCAGCATGTGAATCGCTGCTGGGGGCAATTGCAGGCCCGTTTGTCCGGGCAGGAGGGGCACCTGGTGAAGGCACTAACTGTGAGTGCATGCAAGGAGGTTCTATCCCCATGCTGGTAGGGGCGATAGAGCCTGTGTCGAGTGACTGAGGGGAGGGAGATGCAGGGGAGGGGGATACAGGGGAGGTAGACGTGGGGCTGGAGGGGGAAGATGTGTGAGGTGGAGAGGAGGAGAGGGCGGGAATGTTTTGCTCTGTTTCTCTCCGGGAGCGGCGCATGAGAGGCGAGAGGAACGGGAGGGCCTGGGAGGGGTCTGTGGCCGTTGCTTGGCTGGCCTTGGGAAGCTGGAGCAGGGGGAGAGGGGGGAATGCTGAGAGCGAGAGATCGAGATTGGTAGGAGAGGAAGAGCTCTGAGAGGGACGGACCAGGCTGCTGCTGGCAGTGCTGCTGACATGCGAAGCTGGTGGCTTGGGCAGGGACTCTGCTGCTGTAAAAGCTGCTGCTGCTGTTGCTGCTGCTGATGCTGCTGTTGTTGCTGCTGATGCTGCTGTTGTTGCTGCTGATGCTGCTGTAGTTGCTGCTGATGCATGCAGGGAAGGCACAGTGGCGGAAAGAGAAGTTGAAAGGTGCGGGGCAGCAGGAGGTGAAGAACACGCATGAGTCACCTCCTTCTTTCCACCCCTGCTTCCTCCAACTCCAACCCCTTTCCCCTGCCTTTGTTGTTGCCTTTGGCTGCAATCCCCACCGCCGCTACCGCCACTGCCGCTGCCGCTACCGCCGCTGCCGCCATTGCCGCTGCCTCCACCGCCTCTTGCTGCTCCTTTCTTACACACCAGACGCCACTCACTGGCATCACCAGCATCACCATCATCTCCACCACCGTGCAGTGATCCCCGCAGACCATCAGAGGCACGAGGCGCACTCACAGGCTCACTACCCTGCTGCTGCACCACTGGAGGCAAATTGCCATTGCCCGCCAGTGCCATTCGTCCCTCTTCCCCACCCACCACTGCACCCTCCACTTCACTCTCTTCTCTGCCACCCGAGCGCTCCATACTCTCCACTTCCGTAACCCTGACAGAAGAGAGTATGATGACAGAAGCATCTGCTGCGCTGCCATCCTTCCCCTTCCCTTTCCTCTTCTTCCGCTTCCGCCCCTTGCTCTGCCCACCGCTGCAGCTGCTGCTACCACCATCCCCCTGTCCCTTCCCCTCTCCTCCCACCCTGCCCTTACTCCCCCTCTCTTCCTCCAGCAGCTCCTGCTGCAGGGCTGTCCGCAGGGAAGCATCAACAGCAGAGGCAATCCGAATCCGCGCCCTGCTTAGCACGGACGAGGCTTCCGTGAGGGGGGATAGGAAGGTTTGGGGGAATACGGAAGGGGGTTGAGAGGAAAGGAGAGAAGACGAGAGAGGGGAAGAGGAGGGAGCAGAGGGCGGAGGAGAGGGAAGAGCGGGAGAAGAGGAGGTAGCAGTGGCAGCGGCAGCACCCCAGCACGACTGAAGCAGCTTCTCTGATTCACACCATTTGGGCATAGCACCAGCACCAACACCAGCAGCAGCACCTGCCCCTACCCCCACCCCACGACCAGCACTGGCAGCAGCAAGGAGCGGAACCAAGTCCATGAGGGCGAGGAGGCCGGCGACCCAGGGCCCTGCAGGGGAGCGGCCAAGGCGGTCCCAGGAGAGGGAGGAGAAGGGAATGGGTGGGCCGCACTGGGAGCAGGGGTTCAGAAAGAGACCGTCCAGAAGGAGAGCATGCGGGCTGGTGCTCGAGGTGGCGTGGGTGCTAATGGCGCCATTAGCAGAACCCATGATGCTGCTGCTGCTGTCAGTGGCACAGCCCATGTTGGTCCCAGTAGCAGGACCGACGATGCTGCTGCTGCTGCTGCTGCTGCTGCTGCTGTGAGTGGCCGAGCACAGGTTGTGGGAGACAGAGTGGCGGGCGGCGAGAAGTGAGGGGTGAAAGGAGGCTCTGTTGCGGTGGATGATGCGGATTAGGTGGTGCTGGGAGAAGTGCGCCCTTGCTACCTCGGCTTGCCTCGCTGTTGACAGAGCCTGGTTGTTAAGAGTGGGAGGGGGGAATAGAGGAGTTGCAGAAAGGCTTGTGGTTCATAAAAACAGAGGGAGGCTGAGGCTCTGTTGCGGTGGATGATGCGGATGAGGTGGTGCTGGGAGAAGTGCGAGCGAGAGGCTTCTGCTTGCCTCACAGCTGACAGAGCCTGCATGGGAAGGAGGGAAAGTGGGAGGGAGGTTAAAAAGAGGATTGGCGTTATGATACAACAAGATAGGCTCTGTTGCGGTGGATGATGTGGATGAGATGGTGCTGGGAGAAGTGCGCGCGCGCTGCCTCCGCTTGCCTCACAGTTGACAGAGCCTGGATGGGAATGCAGGAACATCATAATACTCAAGAAAAATATGGATGTCGTTAGTGGGTAATAAACCTCACTGAATGCGGACAGCTAACATTGAATGATACTCTACATGCAGAAGCACCCAACTAAGGATGGTACTTCCACTCAGCATTACCCATCCAACCAACATAGAAAACGCAACTCGTGGCAAAATGCACAAGTTCCAAATCCCCAACTCACCTCAGCCTTGACTGCAAGGCACACGGCGACCCCAAAGCGCCTTTGCCTCCGCGCCACCAGCGCCCTGCTTCTCCCTCCACCACCGCTCCACCCTCTCCATTTAGGATATTGATGGGCACTCGGCACATGACTAACCATTACACGAGTACCAAACAGCAGCCACAACTCACCTCAGCCTTTGCTGCAAGGCACACGGCGCCCTGAAGCGCCTTTGCTTCCGCGCCCCCAGCGCCCTGCTTCTCCCTCCACCACCGCTCCACCCTCTCCACTCGAGACAGCGCCAGGCACTCCGCAACTCTACTCTCATTCCCACTGCCACCACTACTGCCACTATCTGCAGCAGCAGCAGCAGCAGCAGCAGCAGCACCGGTGCCTGTTCTGTCATGCATCCCCACTCCTGCCTGTGACAGCCTTCCTTCTCCCCCAACCTGTGGTAACCTTCCTTCAACCACCACCCCTGCTGTGGGTGCTGCTACCAGCACTCCGAGGCACCTGACGCGGTCCCAGGCGCGCCACAGGTGAATTTCCAGGCGGCTGGCAACAAAGGCAGCTAGCGGGTAGAACCCCAACGCCTGCAGCCAAGGCAGCTCCTCCCACGAATACTGCCCCTGTCCATTGCTGCTGCCGCTGTTATTACTGCTGCTGCTACTACCAGTGCCGCTGCTGCCACTGATGCTGCTGCTGCCATTAATGGTGGTGCTGAAAGAATGGGCTCTTGCAGGAGATTTCGTGAGGAATCCTCCCCAGGAAATCTCCTCCATGACCGTAAAAAAGAGGTCGACGTTACCTAGTAACGAGTCAGCCAGAGTGAGGGAATCTACACATGGCTGTACCTGGTCCTGAGACGACCCACGTGCAGCCTTAACAATGCGTGAGCTACCTGCACAAGCTACAGAGGACTTTCCAGACAACTTTTCAGACAAATTTTCAGACAAATTTTCCCCCATAGAACAACCTGCCTGCTTTGCTAGCCCCCCCACCTCCTGCTGTGCCGAAGGAGACGGAGAAGGCGAGGAGGAGGAAAAGAGCCTGATGGCGGATTCGATTCGCCCAGCTGCCCACTGCTGCCGCCCCAGCCGCGTCCACATGCCTTCACACCGCTTGAAGCAGATGGCGGGAAGAGGAGGACCCGTTGACAACTCCTTAGGCTTCCCAACGAGCTGCGGCGAACCGGTCTTGTCCACCGGAAAGCCGTCGGTCCTGAGTGTGCAAGGCTGCTCGTCCTGCTGTCTCGGTACTACCTCCACAACTTCCTCCCCCGCTTGTCTTGCTGTCTTTGAAACTCCCTCCGCTCTGATGTGACCGTTGGATCTGCCCCCTTTCTTCCTCCCCCCACCTCCTCCCTTGCTCCCATTCCCTCGCCCTTTATTGTGACCATGCGAAGCAGCAGCAGCGACCTCACCCACACTGGCATCCGCACCAGCAGCAGCAGACGCAGACGCCGGCACTTCAGCTGCACCCGGAGTTGCCTTGTGCGAAGCCTCCTTGGTGACTGTAACGGGGGTTTGCTCGAGCATATCCGAGAGAACGATAAACTGCCCGGGTCCATTCATGCGAACGTGCGCCACCATCTGAAGGAGAATCTGCGTCCACTGCGCGTCCACTACCGTGAAAATCCGCCGTCGTGAGTCCACATCTAGCTGCTTCAACCATGCCTGAATCAGCTCCTTAGGCGAACGCGTGGGAGAAATTATGGCAGCTTTAGCAGACGCTCCTGTACTGGTTCCTCCTTTTGATCGTCTTTGACGTGGTTCCTCCTGGCCCGAGACTCTCGCGGCGGCGGAATTCGATGACGACACGGCGTGTTGGGCCTCGCGACGGCATGCGGTGCGGTGGAATGCGCCCAGATGCTCCGTCAGCGCATCCAGCAGCTCCTGCGTTTCCGCCATAATGGCGTCTGTGCTTGAGTCTCAGAGTTTGGCCTACAGGTGACACTTGAGTCTGTGTTTGACTCAAAGGCCGAAGAGAGGCTCCGTCAGCGCATCCAGCAGCTCCTGTGTTTCCGCCATGATGGCGTCTGTGCTTGTGTCTCGCAGTTGGGTTGACAGGAGGACTGTTGTGTCGAATCAAACGTCGCCCAGATGCTCCGTCAGCGCATGCAGCTCCTGTGTTTCCGCCATGATGGTCTCAGAGTTTGCCTAGAAGGGGGAAAACTTGAGTCGATTAAAAAGATGTGTCTCAAAGGTCACCTGATGGGACTTCTGGGTCGACTCAAATGTCGCTCAGATGTTCCGTCAGCGCAGCTAGCAGCTCCTGCGTTTCCGCCATGACGGTGTCTCGGAGTTGATTCGAATGAGAACACGAAGAGCGAGAGCAAGAGAGGGGACGTTGATGAGGGAGCGGGGCAAGGAGAAAGAATTCGGCTCGTCTACTGGTCAGTGTCAGCTGTTTTTGTTAGGGTTGGTTCGCCCAACCACGGAACCTATGGCGAAAGTCTCTACGACGGCGGAATGACGGCGAAATGGAAGCGCGTGGATGATTCTAGGTGAAACGGTGGAAATCAGCCTACGGCGTGAGAAGCGGGAGAGAAATCGAGAAGGAACCAAAGAAATGGAGGAAGAGAGAAGGAGAAGCATCGAGGATGAGATCGACGGGGGAAATTGTGGTCTGAGACCAAGGCGCGTTCGAGAAGGTTCCAGATTCGGTCTTGAGGAGTGTTCACCGAATTCGGTTCGGTTGTGTGTGCGACTCGGGGTGAACCGAGGCGCACGCGGTTACTTGGGAAACAAGTGAAGTTACGAATCGCATTTTGTGTCTTGCCTGACTATAAAACTGCTTGTACTCATTCTGGAAATCATACCAATCAGATTCTGAAAATTGCTGAAGTGTGTATTGACAACTTCAAGCAGAGCTGCGCATATCATTGGAGAACACGATAGGCGATAGCAAGTAGACTATTGCCGACTAAGGTGCTTACGATCCTAAGAGTTTTCGTGTTTCCTAAGACATGCTGCCAACAAATATGTCCGCTAGAATCGTAATACAGGAACAGCCGGGAAGAAAAAGTGAAGGTCACTCTGCTACAAGCATGAACAGCAATAACTGCTACTGACACTCTGGCTTCAGCAATCCATCAGTCAGCGCTCCTGAAAAGTCGGTGAACTGTAATGGTGTTCTGACACTCGACTCGGTTTTAGAGTGCTACTCGTGTTTTCGAACAGATGATGATGCTGACCCCAATAAAGCAGATATCGAACAGTAAACACTTTCCAAACAAATTCTACTGGTCTCACAATCTCCAAAACTAGAACTTGCATTTTCCTCTTCTACCCCGAGTATGTCATATTCTCTAAAGATAATAGAAAAAATTATTCACACAGCTGATGAGTTAAGCTTACCTGTGTAGGTGCTCTGAATAATGCCACAGTGCTTAGCAAATATGGGTGGTGATAGCCTATAATCTGTTTACTGGCATGGAACGAGCATCAGTCTATTCTATTCAACACTTATGAAGGCTGTTATATGAGAACAAGGCCATGCTATTGAAAAACCTATGTGCTAATGGCACCAAAATAAAGTAAAACGTAAGGCTGATCTGACGATCTCATCAGCCAAAGCAACCCAGGAAGGGGTAATTGTCAATAAACTGAACGAGAAAAAATGCATTGACAAGAAACTGAGTACAAGTACTAACCCTAATTGGGTTGTACCCTTTATGGGCTACCCCACTAGAGCCTACACAATACAAAAATTATAAGAGTTTGACACACCTCCATAGGCAAAGTGGGGGAGAACAAGTGGTCACAAGACCAGTAAAAAAACAGCAAAACAAGTACAGAGTGGATCACAAAGTCACCACACACTCTGAGCACAAGAAAATGGCCACAAGGCCAGTCCACATGCAGAATTATATAAACGAGAACAAGCAATACTGTTATCATAACCTAGCAGGGGAAAGCATGCAGGTATATGTGTTAGAAACTAGAACGAGAATGAGTGCATTGAGCAAAAAGTTGGGTACAAGTACTAACCCTAATTGGGTTGTACCCCTTATGGACTACCCCACTATAGCCTACACAAAATAAGCATTATAACATTCTAACACACCCCCATAGGCAAAGTGGGGGAGAACAAGAGGTCACAAGACCAGTCAAGAAAAGCAAAGCAAACTCGGGATGGATCACGAATGTTAGAATCTTAGGCAAGGTGGGATTGGACTATCGAGAGTTTGGTACAAAAGAAAAAACCTAAGGGGTTGTACCCTACAGTGAGTACCCCACTAAAGCCTACCTAAACTATAACATATAAACATATGTTTGACACACCCCCATAGGCAAAGTGGGGGAGAACAGAGGGTCACAAGGCCAGACAGGAAGTGCAAAACAAGCTCATGGTGGATCACAACGTCACCGCGCAGTCTGAGCACAAGCAAAAGGCCACAAGGCCAGTTCACATGCACAGATATATGTGTAACAACAACAGCACAGTGATATCTACCTACAAGAGCAAGCATGCAGGTATACATATAGATCACAGTACAAACAAAGCCTACAGCAAGTGAGGAAGCGTGGGAACAAGGCATAACAAAGTGCAGAAACGCTGATGATCACCAGGCGGAAGCGCCTTGGTGAATATATCAGCAGTGTTGGCACGAGTGGCCACGTAAGCAAGATGAAGCTAGCCACGCTGCTGCAGCTCTCGAGCAAGGAAGTAACGTAGAGCGATGTGCTTCGTTCTGTGCTCCAGTCTGTGCTCCTGACACAAGGCAATCATGGCCTTGTTGTCGACGTACAGAACTGGAGGAGAACGAGGCCGCTCTCCCAAGTCGGTCAGCACGTAGGTGAGCCAACGTAGCTCCTGTGCAGCCATGGCTGTGGCGTAGATCTCGGCCTCACAGCTGGAGCCGAGAACTGAAGACGAACGTGTAGAACGCCAGGAAACTGAACCAGAACCAAGGCTGAAGGTGTAACCCTGTGACGACCGCTGCGTAGACTAGTCGTCAACCCAAGAGGCGTCCGAGTGACCAGTGAGGACAACGTCACCCCGTCCTCCAAGCACGAGCCCCATGCCCGATGTACTGCACAAGTAGCGTAGTACCCTCTTAGCAGCATCCATGTGCACCTTTCGGTGCCGACCAGGAGCCACATAACGAGCCAGAAGGCCAAGAGGGTACGCAAGGTCAAGACGAGTGCAGGTCATCAGGTACATGAGGCAGCCCACTAGCTCTGGGTAAGGACCACTCGGCTCTACGGACTCGTCCGAAGGTGGAGCTGAGAGCGAGTGACCTGTAGCCAGAGGAGTGGCCTGTGCTGAGGACCAGGTGAAGCCGAAGCGCTGAAGGACCTGCTGCACCATGTGTGACTGAGACAGTGTGATGGTGCGGCGTGCTCTGTCCCGGGTGATCTGCAAGCCAAGATAGCTGCGCAGCTCACCCAAGTCTGTGCACGTGTGTCTCTTCTGCAGCTCCGACTTCACCAGGGCGAGAGCCTCAGTGTCAGCAGTGGCAAAGACCAAGTCGTGGACATACACGAGGATGTAGAACGGCGGCAGCGAAGTGTCGGTGCGCAGATACAGCGACGGGTCAGCAGTCGACGGAGCAAACCCAAGAGCCGCAAGTGTCGTCCTCAGTGTGTTGTGCCACTCACGTGGCGCCTGGCGGAGACCGTAGACCGGCCGCCGGAGGCTCCACTGGGTACCAGGAGGGAACGACCCAGTGAAGCCAGGAGGGCGGCGCAGCCATATCTCCTCGTGCAGGCTGCCCTGTAAGAAGGCTGTGCTGAAGTCAAGAGAGTGAAGCTCGTAGTCACGCTGAGCGGCAACGTGTAGCAGCACCCGAAGAGTGGTCATCTTCGGGGTGGGGGAGAAGGTCTGGAAGAAGTAAACTCCCTCTCGCTGACTGAAGCCTCGAGCCACGTAACGAGCCTTGAAGACAGGCGGAGAACCTGGCGGCCGCTTCACCCTGAAAATCCACATGCCACTGACAATGTTCGCCCCAGGAGGGGGAACCTCGTCGACGTAGGTGCCTGTGGACTTCCAGGATGCCATCTCTGCGTCCATGGCTGTCTGCCACTGAGAGGAGTACTCACCCGCGATTGCCTCAGCGTAAGAGCGTGGGGTAGGGATGTCTGGTGCATCCGGGTCTCCCTCAGGGGCAAGCAGCATGGCCACGAGATGAGGCGCAGCGTCTGCAAGACACTCAAGGTCCTCCTGCCTGTCCTCAAGGACGTCCGTGCCAAGAGCACACTCACCCCCGATGGACGGAGGACAGACAGACTCAGACTCAGCAACAAGACTAGCGGTGTAGTCTAGACGACAGGCAGCAGCAAAGTCAACAAGCTCAGCGACTAAGGCAGACGCAGTAGCAGACTCAAAAGACGGGTCAGTGACAACAGTAGCAAGCAGACGCGTGACAGTAGAGTGCTCAGCACGAAACTGGTCAGATGCAGGGTCAGCAACGACAGGCAGAGAGGACGCAAGGGGGGACGGCAGAGGAACACGCGGCGGAGGAGAGGAAGGACGACGAACTACAAGGTGAGGGCCGGAGACAGCCGGCTGCCGCTGACGAGGAACACGACGACCGGAACGACCAGAACGGACAGGTGAGACAGGACGC